AATAAGGCAACAAATAATAAACTATTTTAGAAAACTTTTAGTCGTCAGAGAACGACCGACGAGGAAAAAGGAACCGTTGGCACCGCTCCGACCCTGCTGACGGCAAAACCAAAGAGGATAGCACCGTCGGACCCTCAATCCCTCGACTTCTTCGCACTGTTATGATACTCCCCCGTTGTTGCTTGTTAGTCTCAATCCCTAAATCCCCCAGATGAAAGTCCGACACTGTAACCAATAGTGCTAGGCCCAAGGTTGAGCTTTGTACTAGCGGGCATCTATATAAGCGGGTATTAAGCGACGAGCGGATTTACTAAAACATTTCAAAGCCACATTGTTATCGATACCATCCTTCGAACGTACGCACATGTCACAGACAAGCGCACCGATCAAGAGACAAAAATCTTTTTGATCCTAGTTTAATTAGAAATAAAAATTTAGTCGGCAACTACGCTGTGGCTTCAGAACCATCAACAAGAAAAGAGATCACGCGCTCCTTAAGTTTGCGCGCCCACACCCTCCCCACTCTTAGTCAACCATTCAGTCAGTGTAAACAATACACACAACCACGACTCGCGCAACGTACTCAAACTTTAAATTAAACTTATTTTCCATCATTTGCAAAAACCAAGGTGGATACCCTTGTAAGGGTATTCGCGCCGGCATCAGTCCTTCCTTTTTTCAAAAGTCTCGGTTCTAGAAGAGCTAATTGTAGGTAGTCCGCAATATCTTGAAGGAACGGTCCCCCAAATTCCCTTCGCCCCCCAAAGAAACCACCTGCATCGTGCTCGCCCGCTGCCAGAAATGCGATATCTTGACACAGACACCGAAGCCCACTATACCGCAGCCTTAGGGATGCAAACAAGATGCGGCCCTCCTTTTTGGCTGGCTCGGCCAGCCATTTTCGCTTCAGGGGCCGAGCCAGTTCGTTCAGTTCCCGTTTGAGAAATGTCAAACGGATCCTTTCCCGTTTGGGAAACCCTATAGGTTCGAAGGGGCACTGTGTTTCGGCGGGGAATCGTGGATTGTCTACCGCGTGGGCATGAGGAACGCAACCCTAAGGTAGCCAAAGCAATGAGACTAAAAACACGCACGAGAGAGAGAGAGAGAGAGAGAGAGAGAGAGAGAGAGAGAGAGAGAGAGAGAGAGAGAGTTTTGTTCCATTTATTGATATGAGTAAGAAAGATAGATAGAGAGAGAAAAAAAAAAAGAGAGAAAGAGAGAGAGAGAGAGAGGAAGAAAAAAAAAAAACCTTTTTTTTTATTTGTTGATATGAGTGAGAGAGAGACAGAGAGTGAAAGAGAGAAAGAAAGAGAGATAAAGAGAGAGGGAGGGGGGGGGTACCAGAGAGAGAGAAAAAGAGAGAGAGAGAGAGAGAGAGAGAGAGAGAGAGAG